CCCCCCTAGATGAGGATATAGGCAGTTTCCTTCGGGTTTCGAGGGGTGTATCCCCAACTGGGGTGGTAATTTGGTGGGGGTCTAGAAGGGGATGGGGATGGGGATGGGGATCGGTTAAACGATACCGATCAAAAAGCGGAAGCGAGGGACATCCCGCGCGGCTGCCTCCCGGGCGGTGCTCTTGGCAAGAGGGTCGCCACGCGGGGAAGCGTCGAGATGGCACGGTGGAGAGTTGTGCCGCAGGCGGCCGGATCTTGAGATCGGAGCTCCAGTCACAGTCCGCAGAGTAGATCCGCCGACCCCCTTGGGGTCACCGGCGTGTGAGGTGGGGGCCCGGTCCGGTCGGTTTGGAGGGGGGGGGGCCCAGGGGGCTCCAAAAGGCCAACCGGAGGCCCAGAAGAGGTCCCAAGAGGCCCCGAAACGGCACCCCGGAGGCCTCTCGAAAGTGCTGCCAGGAGGCCCCCGAGAGACCTACCAGGAGCCCCCCAAATGGGTCGGCGGTGCGGCGTAAGCCCAAGAATCAGGTCAGGCCGGGCAACCATTACCGTGCCATATGTCGTGTTCCGCTGTTCTTCATGGGCTTTGATCAGCTGCAGGCATCTCTGTATGTGCACGAACTGGTTGCAACTCCTTATCAAATGATCCCGGCTTTCTCCAAAGTATCCAACGCTGAAGCACTCTTCGTGAGCGACGTATTTTTGCAAATTACTTGAATTGACTGTGTCTGACGAAAGCTCTACTGCGTGCGCAGTTGTCCGCAACGATTTCAGCGCTAGTTCAACGTCTCTCTGCGATGCATCTAGCTTGCGAAAGTTCCAACCTTCCTGACCCTTTGGGTCTGCACCCTGGAGGGTTAAATGTGCGAAGACATCCAGCTGCGCCTGCTCGCGACCGCTCGAAAGAAAACGCTGCAAGCCTGTCAGCACCCGCGGCTCGGGAAAACTGCGGGCGTTGCCAGACAAGCACATAGCGACGGTCGGTCCAGCGCCACTACCTACGTTCTCCGCTTCCCGTCTCGTGCCTTGCTCGCTCTGCAGGAGAAGCGTGCACGCGCGTTCCAGAACCAGCGCGATGCACAGACAGGCGGCCTTCATGATGCATATGTAAGCCGCCACCGTGCCAGCGGCACGTTGGGGCGTGCTAGAATGCTTGTCAATTGTTAGGTCGGGAATGTCCTCCTACAGGCAGATGTTGGACAAACAAAAAAAACGAAAATCGTCCCAGGACCATTTCTTTTTTTAACTAATCTTTAATATTCTCCATGTAGAGGGACTTGTCCGACTTCAGTTTATTGTCTGGTAAAGGTTCTGTGGTGTTTCTGGGGCCGATCCCCCCATCACCCAAAAAACGCGTCCTCCGAAAAACGTCCCCCCTGGCTTTGCTCTCCGCTTGTCTCGTCGGCCTCCGGGCGGCTCCAAAGAGCCAGAAAAGTTTGCTGCGAGAATGGCGCATGACACCCCAAGACCATTCAAAGGTGGCCCATCGAGCTCCCGAGGGCTCCAACATCTGCCCACTGTGCTCCAAGAGGCCCCGACAGGCCTCCGAGAACCGCTCCGAGAGGCGTCCAGCGGGGTCTTCGGGGCAATAAATCATGGAGGTTCAGGAGGCCGACGGGCCTCCAGCGGGCCCCCGAGAATCCCCCAAGAGGGGATCCCCAACTCCCTACACACACCCGCTCGCTCCCACCAAACTCAACGTCCTACCGCTCATCCCTGATGCATCTCAGTTCCGATCTAGCAGATCTCTTTCCGCAGATCCCCCCTCTGCAACAAGGAAGCTCACCGGGGCCCGCCCGCCCCCCCAACCTCCCGCTGCACGATGTCCCCTCCTCCCTCCTCCCTCCTCCCTCCTCCCTACTCCCTCCTCCCTCCTCCCTCCTCCCTCCTCCCTCCTCCCCCCTCGTCCCTCCTCCCTGTCTTCAGCTCAACCTCTTGCATGCTGCGCTGCTGCGCTGGCACGGTGGCGGGGCCTGCCGCAGGCAGCAGGCTGTTCGGAAGAGTGAGCTCTCCAAGCGTGGCCGACAATGGCTTCAGCCAACGCACCTTGAGCCACAACGTTTGCCGTTGGCATCGCCCCGCCGTCCACGCCGAAGATGGGGGGAGATGGGGCGCGACGGCGCGAGGAGGGCCGCGCGTCTGGCACCGCGGGGCGCGGTGCGCGAAGCCAGGCGGCCCGGGAAGCGCAGGGAGCGTTGCGCCTGTGCGCACGAGGCCGTGCGAGGTGGGGGCGGCTGGACGGCCGCCCCCGCGCCCCCCCCCCCCGCGGGCGACCTGGTGGTCCAGCGTCGGTCTGCATCCTCCTCCTCCTCCTCCTCCTCCTCCCCCTCCTCCTCCTCCTCCTCTTCCTCCTCCTCCTGCTCCTCCTCCTCCTGCTCTTCCTCCTCCTCTCCCTTCCTCCTCTTCCTCCTTCTCCTCCTCCTCCTCCTCCTCCTCCTCCTCCTCCTCCTCCTCCTCCTCCTCCTCCTCCTCCTCCTCCTCCTCCTCCTCCTCCTCCTCCTGCTACTCCTCCTCCTCCTCCTCCTCCTCCTCCTCCTCCTCCTCCTCAACAAGGGGGAAGGGCGCGCGCGCACACGCTCAAAGATTCTAAGATGAGGCCCTGAGGCGCGGGGCCCCGAGGCGTGAGGCGTGGGGTCCCAGGCTGAATCTGCCCTGTTCGAAGACCCTGGGCTTTAGGGCCCCATCCCTCTGGAACCTATCTTTGAAACGCCCATGGTTGCATCACGATCGAACCCCGAACCCCAAAAAAACAGAACTGCCCATGTTGGACATAAACTGACAACTCTCTGCCACTAGATCTCTTCATTGTGAGCCACGACAACATCGCAGAGCGGAGGGGGCACTGGGAAGGGGCATGCCGCTCACTCATCGACAAAAGCCCTTGCCCCGATGTGTGGCCACCGCGATCGCCATGGCGGCCTCCAAAACCGACACGGAGGCTTGATCTGGGGACGGACATCACGCAACGAGCCGACCCGCGTCCCCCGCGCGCGGCCGATCTGAGGGCGAGGAGCACGCGCGCGCCTTCCCGCCCCAAGCCCCGACAGCGGGCCCGCCAGAGGCGCCCGCAAGGAGGGCGCCCCGACCGCGCGCGTGCGGAGTCCCTCGCCGCCGTCGCTAACGCCGTCGCTGACGCCGTCGCTGTCGTCGTCGCTGCCATCGACGCCGCTGTCGTCGCCGTCGATATCGCTCTCGTCGTCGTCGTCGTCGTCGTCGTCGTCGTCGTCGTCGTCGTCGTCGTCGTCGTCGTCGTCATCCTCGTCGTCGTGCTCGACGTCGTCCTCTCCTGAGGCCCGACGTTGCGAAAAGAGCTGAAGCATCGGCGAAACTCATGGCTGGAGCCCTCGACTCTGGACCCCACCTCACTCTGCGGCATCTCTCGAGCCGGCTCGATCTGAGGTGGGCCCTGAGGCCCGCAACGTGGCACCAAGTCGCCGGGTGAGAGAAAAATTCGGGCCTCCTCCTCCTCCTCCTCCTCCTTCTTCTTCTTCTTCCTCCTCCTCCTCCTCCTCCTCCTCCTCCTCCTCATCCTCCTCCTCCCCTCCTCCCTCCTACTCCTCCTCCTCCTCCACACCTCCTCCTCCTCCTCCTCCTCCTCCTCCTCCTCCTCCTCCCTCCTCCTCCTCCTCCTCCTCCTCCGCCTCCTCCTCCTCCTCCTCCCCTCCTCCTCCTCCTCCGCCTCCTCCTTCCTCTCCTCCTCCTCCTTCCGCCTCCTCCTCCTCCTCCTCCTCCTCCTCCTCCTCCTCCTCCTCCTCCGCCTTCCTCCCGCCTCCTCCTCCTCCTCCTCCTCCTCTTCCTCCTCCACTCCTCCCCCCTCCCCCTCCCCCCCCCCCCCCCCTCCTCCCTCCCCTCCCCTCCTTCCTCCTCGTCCTCACGCCTCTCCTCCTCCTCCTCCTCCTCCTCCTCGCTCCGTCCTCCTCCTCCTCCTCCTCACTCCGCCTCCTCCTCCTCCTCCTCCTCCTCCTCCTCTCAGGGTCGTCGTCCTCGGCCTCGCACTGAATTCGGTTTCTGGCAGAAGGAGTGGCGCACACAGTCTGGCGCGCAGGTGGGGCGGGCGAGACTGCAGCAGCGCTTCCGCCACCTCCGCAGCCGCCGTCCTCAAGAGGCCCCACGGAGAGCCGTGCTGGCAAACAACGGCGATGTTGGTGAACGGTGATGTTGGGAATCGGAGTTCTGCGACAGGAAATCACGAACCACACCTTCCTAGGTATCAAGGACGCGAATGCGTCGAGCGAAAACGGCACGGCGAACTGCAGGCGAGCACCAACCAACCCTACCTGCAACATCGAAACCTGCATCGCCGTGACCTGCCTCGCCGCTAGCAATAGTCACGAGACTGCACACCAGCCCTGAGTCTTGGAAACAAGTCGCCGCGGCGTCGTCCCAGACCCCCGACGCCAAAATTTGTTCATAACGTCGACCTCCAGAGGTCTCGACCGATTCCCCACGACCGGTTCTTCGTTCCGAATCGTTTTTGGACGGTCCCGAGACCCGGTAAGAGCCCCCAGAGGCCAACAACAACGAAAAACACCCCGTCATGATTTTGTCATTCCTCGAGGGGGTCTGGAAAAGTTTTCCCCCCCCCCCCGTCGGGCGTTCACTAATGGGTGGGCAATAGATTGTTGGGGGGTAGGAAAGGTGCACACCTTTCGTGCACCTTTCGTACAACCCTCGATACCCCCAAATTTATCGCCCCCCCATTACCGAACGCCCGACGTCACCACCCTCATCCTCGTCCTGCTCGTTCTCCGCGAGCGCCCGGACGGGCGGCGCCGTGCCGCGGCGCCTCCTCCAGCTTCCGGGAGGCGCTGTCCAGCACGTCCGTGCTCTGCAGCGCGCTGCGGTGCTCGGGCGTAAGGCTGGCGGCGGCGGAGGGGGAGGCCGGAGGGAGGAGGAGGAGGAGGGCGGAGGGAGGAGGAGGAGGAGGAGGAGGAGGAGGAGGAGGAGGATGAAGGATGAGGAGGAGGAGAGGAGGAGGAGGCGGAGGAGGGAGGAGGAGGAGGAGGAGGAGGAGGAGGAGGAGGAGGAGGGAGGAGGAGGAGAGGGAGTAGGAAGGCGGAGGGAGGTCGAGGAGGAGTGCGGAGGAGGAGGAGGAGGAAGAGAGGAGGGAGGAGTAGGGAGGAGGATGAGGAGAAGGTAATAGGAAAAAAAGGCCAAAAAAGTTTGGGGGCGGGATGGAGGAGGCAGCCCTGCAGCCGCCGCGACCCCGCCGAGCGCGCAGGACTGGGCCAGGACGGCGGGCGCGAGAACTTGTCGGGCGTCGGCAGGGCTGGATTCAGTGGCTAATTGTCCAATGATGTGTATCCTGGGCGGCCAAGAGGGGAGCGTCCAAGAGGGGGGAGCGTAAATAATGGCTGGCGGCATGTGCGCGGCCCAGGGGGGGGGGCAGGAACGTAATGAAATGAGAAGAGGCGCCATGAAATCTGAGGAGATATCATGGCCCACGTCATGACATCCACCCCGCCCCTAGTCATCACCCCCCTCTTGGCCGCCCCCAAGTGTATCCGAAGACACCCTCCCGCCCCACTCCACCGACCGGAGCTGCCGCCACCCGAGCAAAAACAACGGCTACGCCAGACCTGGTAGGCGCTCTCTGTTTTTCGGGTTTCAACATTTGGCCGAAGGTTGGGTGAGGGGGGGGTCTGGATCGATCTGCTTTTACCAGTCGCGCAAGCAGACTGGGGCGAGGGGCCCTGACCAGTCGCCGGAAACCAGCCGCCACAAGCAAGCAAGATCTGGTCCAGAGAGGGTTGGGCGGCAGGGGAGGACGGGGGTACGCTCCGACCGGCGAAACGATAAACACAAAAACAGCGGCCTGGCTTAGTAATTCAGGTTTATGTTTCGGGCTTCGGTGCCCAATCACTAAGCGGCTCCCCTTACCTGGGGCCCTGGCTATGTCCGAATTTGGCCTTCCCGTTCCACGACAACTTGCTCCGCACAGCCTCTGGGAGACGACGGTGGATCCCCTTTTTTGCCGCGACAACCAGCTCTGCACGGCAAGCACTATCTGTTCCACGACGCCCTTCCTTGTCCACGACCCTGCGCGTCCCCCAATAATTATCCACGACACCTGGCTCTGCAAAGCCTCTGGGTGACGGAAGCCCATGCTACGACCCCCATCGACGCCCCTGGAGCACCTAAGGCCATCCAGGGACCGCGTCGGTAGAAGAACACAGAACTGCGTCAATATCAACTGTGGATTTAGATCGGCGCTGGGCCGACCTGGTGCGCCTCCAGCGCCGCCGCCAGCGCGCTCCGCGCGCCAGGGACGGGGACTCGCCCCCGATCCGAGCAAGAGACCCGCGCGGACCTTCGAAAGTTTATGCCTGTGCCGATTCTCTTCTGAAGATGGTTTTCAGGTTGCCCAGGAGGAGAAGGAGGAGGAGGAGGAGGAGGAGGAGGAGAAGCAGGAGGAGGAGAGGGAAGGGATGAGGAGGAGGAGGATGGGGGGAGGGGGGGGAGGAGGGGGGGAGGAGAAAGGGGGAGGGAGAGGAGGAGGAGGAGGAGGAGAGGAGGAGGAGGAGGAGGAGGGAGGAGAGAGGAGGAGGAGGAGGAGGGGGAGTAGGAGGGGGAGAAGGAGAAGGGCAGGAGGAGGAGGAGAAGCAGGAGGAGGGGGAGGAGGAGAAGCAGGAGGAGGAGCAGGAGGAGGAGAAGAATCACGCCAGACAGGGCCTCGAATCTGCCGGCTTCGGGGTGGGAGAGTCTGCAGGCTCTCTGTGGGAGGCCCTCGGGAGCTTCGGGGGTCCCCTCTTCGGGCCCCTCTGTGGGCCCACCTCGGAGCCCTCCCTCTCGGAGCCCTCTTGAGGCCTCCTTAGGCCCGTCGGTGCCCGAGGAGGCGAGACGGCGGACATGGCCCCCAACAAATGCAAGCCTCCCCTGGTTTGGTCGACCCAAGAGGAGGCCCAGCTGGAAGGAGGTGGTGCCATAGAATGGGGGCAATTGGGTTGCAAACGCCTTCCGCCGGAGAATTGTATTGCACTGTATCGCAGAGAATGCATTGCGCGCGAAAATTCCCGCAGTGCATCTACGCCCCGGAATGTGCTGCACACCCCGAGTCTACTGCACCCCGAAACCTGTTGCACCAGATCTATTGCACCACCCCCTTCTCGCCGAGCTAATTTGCCCAGGGCTCCGATCGTGACTGTTCGCGATGAGGCCGCCCCCTCGCATTCCCCCCTGAGGCGCACCGCCAACTCGTAGGCTGCCCGCGCAGGGCCACGCGTCCTCGCCCCCAGCCTCTCCGTGTGCGTCGGCCTGCGAGGGCCACCGCGTCAGGCCGCCCCGCTGGGAGGCTGCGCTGGACCCCCTCCTGGGACAACCCGACCTGGGAGGCCCCCGAGCCACCTCTCGGGGGCCTGCAGACATGGATTAGCGATCCATGGATTCGGCGCGCGGTGCCCTCCCCAAGATGCGGCGGGTGCCGCCTCGCTCGGCGGCGGAAACCCACGACTTCCCATGGAAACGGGCGCCAATCCACGCCCCCTCGAGCCATAGGGGAACAAAAAGTGACATAAACATAAAAACTCGGAGGTCCGCGCGGACCTCCGAGTTTTTATGTTTATGCCACTTTTTTAGGGGGCCACTTGCGGACCCTACCCCTACCCCCCGACGATTTCTGAGGGGGAGGGTGGGGTTCGCTTCGCTCGGGAGCTTCTGAATGAAGTGAACCCCACCCTGCCCCTCAGAAATCGTAGAGGGCAGGGGTAGGGGCAGGGCTCGCATCTGGCCCCCTACTGTTTGCGATCGCCTGACACCTCGAAGCCGCCTCGGAGCCTCCCCCGCGAGGCCCCCGGGGAGCCGTGCAGGGAGGGCCCTCCAGAGGCCAACCCGCGGCCCCTCGGGGCGCCCTCCCGGAGGCACGTCTCGCCCCGCGCAGCCCCCCCTGGCCTGGCTGCACCTCTCGGTCGGACGATGTCCTCCTCCTCCTCCTCCTCCTCCTCCTCCTCCTCCTCCTCCTCCCCCTCCTCCTCCTACCCCTCCTCCTCCTCCTCCTCCTCCTCCTCCCCCTCCTCCTCCCCCTCCTCCTCCTCCATTCATTCTCCATTCCTTCTCCTTGTAGATAACTGCTCCGTGTCGCACGCCGAGGCGGCCAGTTTTTAGGGCCGTTTCGCCCGAGAGTTCCTCACCACTTATGACCCTGAAGCTTAAAGAGTGGCAGCAGCACCTGACCCTGACCCTGAAGCTTAAAGAGTGGCAGCAGCACTTCCTCACCACTTATGACCCTGACCCTGAAGCTTATGACCCTGACCCTGAAGGTTGACAATCCTCCTCCTCCTCCTCTTCCTCCTTCCCTCTCCTCCTCCTCCCTCCTCCTCCTACCTCCCCCTCCCCTCCTCCTCCTTCCTACCTCCTCCCCCTCCTCCCCCCTCCTCCTCCTCCTCCTCCTCCCCCTAACCGCCACACCCCTCCCCCCTCCCCACTCCCCCTACCGTCCTCTTCCTCCTCCTCCTCCTCCTCCGCCTCCTCCTCCTCCTCCTCCTCCCCTCCTCCCCTCCTCCTCCTCCTCCTCCTCCTCCTCCTCCTCCTCCATCCTCCTCCTCCTCCTCCTCCTCCTCCTCCTCGCGCCCTCCGCCTCCGCCTCCTCCGGCCTCACCGCCTCCTCCGACTTCCGCCTCCGCCTACCGCCTCCGCCTCCGCCTCCGCCTCTCCTCCCCTCCTCCTCCTCCTCCTCCTCCTCCTCCTCCTCCCTCCTCCTCCTCCTGCTCCTCCTCCTCCTCCTCCTCCTCCCCCTCCTCCCCCTCCTGTTCCTCCTCCTCCTCCTCCTCTTCCTCTTCCTACTCCTCCTCCTCCTCATCCTCCTCCTCCTCCTCCTCCTCCTCCTCCTCCTCCTCCTCCTCCTCCTCCTCCTTCTCCACAATTACTCAACATGAATACTACTCCCCCTCTTCCCCTGATGACGGTTTGAAAATGGCCGACCCCCGCGTATTTTTTTACACACAGGTTTCCCCGGAATTGGGTTTTCGCCTGCATCTTTTTTCAAAATGCTGCTCTCGCTGAGGCGCCGGCCTCATTTTCGGGCCCCGCTCGTTCCGAATCGTGCTCCCGCTGCAGCGCTGGCCTCATTTCTGTGCTTCCTCTCGTTCCGAATCGTGCTCCCGCTGCAGCGCTGGCCTCACTTCCGCGCTTCCGCTCGTTTCGACTCGTGCTCCCGCTGCAGAGCTGGCGTCATTTCCCGTGCCATGCCACGGCATGCAATGCAATGCTAGGTTGATACTACGCTTTGCGGTGCTCTTCTACGCCATGCCATGCCGTGCTCTACACTGCATCGCGTACCCTTTCGGGATCATTGCCCTGCTCGACATCCGACTGAGCGAGTATAGAGGGGATCTGCGCCATGGTAAGGGATGGGTGGGAGGGGTAGGATGTCAGATATGACGCGAGCGCACCTAGCTTGTCCTCCTCCCCCTCCTCCCCCTCCTCCTCCTCCTCCTCCTCATCCTCCTCCTCCTCCTCCTGCTCCCTGCAGGCGGATGTTGGACGGAAAGGGAAGGGAACAAACGAAAAAAATCTCAGGAAGAGTAGAAAATAAGCAACAACAAAAAGTCGTCCCCAGACTATTGTTTGACTATTCTTGAATACACGTCGGTCGGAAAAAAGTAGGCAGAAACATGAAGTAGGAAGGCGGATGAAGTGGATTGGGTCCAGGCCCTCCCAGGGAAAAACAAAACACAGCAGAAGCATGCCGATTCTTGAAGTAGGAAGGCGCTTGAAGTAGATTGGGATCTGGGAATCCAAAAATACCTACGTTCAACGACCGGCGTGTACTCCTCCTGTAGAGGGACAGGCCCGACTCAACCTTCCCTCGGCAAGGACGGGACCGTGGACTCCAGGGCCTCTCAAGTCTGGGCGGTGGGAGGGG